AATAATCCCACTTACTTTTATTATGAGAGAAAAATTCTTGCTTCCCTAGAGTTCTAAGTATATTAGCAGAAACAAACTCATTTAATTTCACTGATTCCTTGGGAAAAAATGGGGAGAACGTATCGACTCCATGTTATAAAGAAAGATACCGCCCAGAGTAGAAGTAAAAGGACTCAAGACTGTTCACTGGAATCAGGGGTTAAAGCTCTAATCCTCTCATGGTGAGGCTATATCTGTTTACTGGACAGTATTTCAGATTTCTAGACACAGTATGATATAAAATACTTTTTAGATTAAAAAACTGCACTAACATCTTCCAAAATAGTTCTGAAACTGATCAGAAGAGCAGATATAAGAAGGAGAGCAAGGAGGAAAGTCTGGACAATTTCATGTTTAAATGATCTTGTTTCAGTGAACCAAATGACTACGTACAGCATCTGAGGGTATAAACCGGACTCCTTTTCTCATCTTTCCATAATCTGGAATAGTAACTGTTTATTTCCTCAGGATCAATTTTAAATTACTGTAGAGTCAAGAGAAGTATAAAAGATGAGAACCACTGCTCAAATTCCCACACAGTCCCCAAGGGCAAGTCCAAGCAACCAGCAAACCTCTCCTCTGAGAAGTGTTTAACTGTTACATGGTTAATCCATTTGGAACACCTTGTTTGCAATGAAGGACCAAAAGAGATTTGCTGTAAAAATCTTCTACTTCTACTCCCAAGAAGACAACAGTGGATTAGGTGACCAGAGAGACAACTTGGAAACGTCCAGGCTTGTAGCGATTCTGAGTCATGTCTTCAGTAAGGGATAAAGCCGATTTTGAATGATGTGGCTCATGTTCCAGCAGTGTTTTGTTCTAGACAGATGGGCCATATGGAAACTATGAACTGGCTTCATCGACAGGACCGTGGTGAGCCAATACAGCCTTTTTCTGTTTTCTGTTTCTATTCAAAGGGTCTAGTGAATGATACGTGATCATAAGATCCGGTCTACTATATGACTGTCCAAATTCCAAGCAGTTATTGTTTTTAATAGTATAGATATTTTTATCATGTTTTTATTTTTTAAAGAAAAATATACTTTTTTGGGGGGGGGCTGGCTAGGAATGCCTTCAGGGCACGTTTGGCTGGTTGGAGCTGTGGGGATCGAACCACAGCAACCTGAGGCTGACTGCTTTGTTGAAGCAGCCACTCAAATAACTGAGCTAAAGGTCAGACTCCTATACTTTTATTTAATGAAAAGAACTTGGACTATTTTGGATATTAAATATACTATAACTCTTCTTTCAAGCTACTAAGTTACTCTGATGCACCAATGAGATCTTGGTCTAAAAGCGAGAAGAAGGCCGGGATGTGGCACATGCAGCACATCCGAGAATGTGGCACTCTTGAGAATGAGGCAGGAGGAGCACTGCACATTCAAGGCTAGCCTGGGCTACATACACAGTAAGGATAGGGCCAGCAAGACCCTGCCTCAAACAAACAAACAAACAAACAAACTCCAAAAATAAAAACCTATAAAAAGTGGGATAAAGCCAGATGTGGTGGTACAGGCCTGTAATCTCAGCACTAGGGAGGCTGACGCAGGAGGATCATTGTGCATTTGAGTCCAGCCTGTGGAACAAAGTGAGTTCAAGGAGTCAGCCAGATAGCTTAGTGGACTAAAGTGCCTGCTTAGACAGGCTCAGGGAACGAGGTTCAATCCCTGGTGTGCCATGCTGGCCTTACCCCCAGGGCATACTGAGAGGGTGATTGAGATTAGGCATGGTGGCAAGCACCTATAATCCCAGTGCTTGGGAGGCTGAAAACAGGAGGATCAGTACAAGTCCCATCTGTGTAGTAGGACCCTGAAGACCTGTACTAAACACATTAAAAAAAAAAAAAAAAAAAAAAACCCAAAGTGAGCTCAAGCCAGTCTGAACTGCGTAGAAAGACCCTGTTTCAAAAGACAAAAAAAGAAAAGTGTGTGTGTGTGTGTGTGTGTGTGTGTGTGCGCACACGCGGGGGGGTTGCTGGAGAGGACACTATCAAAATCACAGATATTAAAGAGTTTTTCTAAAAAGATCTAATAATTATTTGTAACATTTTCCTACAATATTGTAAGCACAGGAAAAGAACAGAAAGAAGAAAGAGAAGGAAGGAAAAAGAAAAAGAAGAGAAAAAAAGTAAAAAAAAAAAGTGGAATGAGAAAGGCAAGAAGGAAGACAGATATGATTTTCTGAGAGTTAGAAGGCCACCATGATCCACTGCATGATTCATTTCAGGTATGCAGGGTATTCATGGTCTGCTATTCTTTTATTCATGGTTTGCTAATACTTTTTAGAGAAGTTACAAACATAAAAAAATTAAAAAAACAAAAAACAAGTATTTTTCTGGATTGAGCTTAAAATTTAATGAGAAACTGTGTGGGTGAAGAAAAATCACAATTGTTGGCCCAATACCAAAATGGAACAAATGAACAGCACTTAGGTGCTTACAGGACGTGGGAGGCCTAAGAGGAGCTGAAATTAATATGTGCAAAAGGAGCACACTCGCTCCTTAGAGGGCTTTGGAAACCATCACATGCACTCACTCAGCCCATAAATCCTTGCAAGGCTATGATGAAAAATGATCAGATTTCATTATTAAAATTAAAATGTAGTCTGAGATGTTTTTTCTAGAGAAACAAAAATATGAGCCATAGATAATATGGATACAATTGTTTTAAAGAGGGAGGAACTTAAGGACCTACAATTTAAATATTTTTCAAGGAGATTTACTGAAACACAATTACATCGGATGCCTAAGGTTTGGGAAGAACAAGATTTCCTCATGTAATAAAAAATCCTCATGTTTTGCAGATTATAACAGTGACTTCTTATACATTTTTCTTTGATCCCAGAAAATCCCAGAGGAAACTATAAAACCTGTTCGTCCCAATTCCATCCGATCAATTTGGGGCAGACTTATTTGTGCTGGGCTCATAGTAGGTCGGCAGAACTGCTGTTTAAGATTAAAATGGACAGATTTCTGTTTTGATGCAAGCATATTTGAGTAATTTTAATGATCAAAAAGCAAACCTTTAAAATCATATTTTTCAAAAATAAACATAAGTAGTCATGTGAAAAATTCAGATCTGAAAAGAATCATTTTCCTTTCCTGCATAATGTCTCATTTTTATCTTGCCTTTAAATTTTTATGTCTTGGACTTATAACTATTGCCTATCTCCATGAGAGAGACATTTAGTAATTGAGCTCAGAATTCCACACTTCTGATTCCTTGTCTTTCAGTTACTTTAACAGGCTCTATTTGCTTTTGTGAATTGTCTGTCTTCATTGATAAAGCCAGCTGAACAGCTCCCACCACATGTCCCCTCTTGGCACTGCCTCTCTTCTTTTAAATAAAGAGCTTCTGTGGGCATAAAGGAACAATTTGGGAGAAGCTTTGCTCACAGTTACCAGGTCCCAGGAGACAGTACAGACAAACCCTTGCAGGCAGCTCAAGGGACAGCAGAAACACTGCCTATCCAAGGGTTTGTTTGGTCAGTTAGACTTTAAAGTGTAAGTCTTTTAAGATATATTTCATTATTAATAAATATAATTAAGGCTTTCTTAAAATTGGCAAAAGATTATACACTGTCTATATAACATGAAGGGAAATGGTCTTGTTAAGTATTTCTTGTGTCGTTCTCATTTTGCAAATTGCTGTCTTTATTAGGTCAGCTTCCTCCCTAACCTTTAAATTACATGCCAATAGTTTAGGGCAAGAAAAAGATTTTAAAATTTTTTCTTTAAGATAGGCTCTGCTACTTTTATTTTGTTTTTCAGGTTTTTTTTTTTGTAAGGGTCTACAGGGTCTCACTACATAGATCCGAGTCATAGTGATCTGCCTGTGTTCAGCCTCCCAAGGAGCTGGGATTACAGGTGTGCACCACACCTAATCTTCTGCCACTTTTAGAACAATATTCTCATTGCCTATTTTCAATGATGGACTGCTTGTAAAATGTTGTAGATGTTCTACATAACATTTTTCAAGGAATTGCTTTCAAAATATCTTTCTCTGGGGACATAGCCATTGGTATGTGGCAATACAAATGTTTAGGTTCATCATTTCACTAAGATATAAAATATCTTTTACTAATATCAAATAATGAGTCCACATACCCCACATACAGAATATTAATAGGAGACTTAAAATTCATGCCACAATAAACATGTGTATTTTAATGAGTCCTACACATTTATACCATAAAGCTTAAATATTTGATGTGCTAATAGTAGCACTGCTGTATGCTACTTGAAGAAAGAGGGCAAATTTGATATTTCTTAAAGATGAATCAACTCCTCCAGCTCAGTGGAAAGAAAGAGCCCACACTAGATCTAACTAAACATAACAGCAGTGCATGAAAGAATATGGCCTGCTACAGAGAATACTTTACACATATGAAATGCATTTTGGGAACATATGCAAATTGCTTTTCTGTCTAGTAGTAATTTCAACCTGAAGATCATTTTGAAAAGTACTTATGGAACAATGCAACAATCCCAAGGGCGACAGATGTTTCGATGAGGAATATTCTGCCATTCTACTTCTTTAGGTTTTCTAATTCATTTTGAACATGAACATTGGGGTTATGTAGAAACATTAGTTTTTAGCTCAATCAATCCATTGAAATAGAAACTATGAATATGAAAACTATATCTCTCCATAATATTTGCATATGTCTTCAGGGTAACAATGAGATCATGAAGAAAATAATATTATAAACATGAAGGCAAAAAATTCCAAAAACAAAAGATAAAAACCCCATATACATTGAAAAGAGCAAAACGAATTCTGGATACAACAGAGGAGATGACACATGGCATGAACTTTTAAAAATACTCTACAAGTAAAACAGTATTATTCAATAAGATGCAACGGAATTGGAAAAAGAAGCAACATTCACATGATGAGATACAGAGCCATCCGGAAGAAGCAGTTATGGATATAAGCCAGAGCGGGGATTTCTTTTCTTACTTGCACAAGAATCTTGAGGGGTTTGAAAGGTCTTTCACCATGAAACACTCGCCACCATTCACACAGAACGTTTTCTCCTTCTCTGCACATTTCACAAGATGGCTCGTCCCCGTGGTGGATGTAGATGTGGCTGGATAGGAGACAAGGGAGAGGAAGTGTTCACACTGAGCTTTGACCCCTTATAAACAGCCTTATGCTAAAATTCTCTTAAAAGCAAGAGGTTATATAAAGTACAGCCAACTTCCCAAAAGTTTCAGACTTGACAAATAGCAAAGAAACTACTTTGTGTTTGCAATACATAGAACACAGTTAATTAACAGAACACGATGAGAAGAATATAGGTAATTACAAAACAAATTAATTTAATTTCAACTATATAGGAAAAAGGACTCAAATTTTTATAACCATTGTTTTATCTTTTAAAGTAGCTGGAAAAGAGATGCTCTCGTGTCATGAAACACAATCAGTTTTAAAGAAGGTTTGAAGGAATGGTGTCATGTCAGTGACGCACCATAAAATACATAGATTTTTCAACTTATGGTTTATTCACAAGTTTTTCCTTTCCTTTTTTCAGTACTGAGAATTCAAAGCAGGGTCTGTGCATGCAGCACAAGCCCTCTACTACTGTGCAACTTCTCCAGCCCTGACTGCATCTTTAAGACAATGTGTAGACACAAAACAAACAAAAGAAAACCCACAAGGATACAAGATAGTGTATATGCTCCCAAAGTTAAAATATATATATATATATATATATATATATATATATATATATATATTAGTTGAACATACACTGACATAGAAGTCAGAAGTCATTCACTTTACAATTTCTATCATACTCTAATTCTTCTACTCTGATGATCATAGTTGAATATCTGATTGACAACCAATCTACTGGTAGGAAATGAAAAGATACTCTAATACTATACGCATCTTTACAAATGCAGCACTATAAAATTTATCTCTCTTGAACTGAGACTATAGAAACAAGCCTTCACTGTGGTTTCTGACATCTTCATGTGATAACCTGACATTCACTTGTCAGCCTTCACAGTCACGCGGAAGTGAGATTGAAGATGATGCCTGTACAGCTGATGGTGTAGATGAAATGAAGCCAAAGCCCAGTTCTCAGACTCAAAGAGCTTTTGAGGATCAGGACCACCTCTCCTCACTTCCACTGCTGATTATGGTTAGGGCGGTGCTCAGCTTCACCCAGAAAAAGTTAATTCATATAATGTTGGTACTGACACCATCCAGATGAGAAGCAGAACCAATATCAAGCCAGGGAAAATTCTGTTTTTCAGGATGTATTTACTGTCACATTCCTTCAGACTTTTAATCTGTTGTCTTCCTTATCAATTTCTACTTTATTATTTGCATGTAAATTTTGGAAGCTCTTGCTTACTTGACCTATGTGTGCTCCCCCCATCCCTATATCATGCCTTTTATTGGTGGCATTGGGAATTGAGCTCATGATCTCGTGCTTAGAAGGCAGGTGCTGGCCACTGAGCTATATATCCCAGGCCCTACCTTTCATTTTTATTTCCTTCAAAAGTTCACATTTCCTTGTGATTGTTAACCCAATCTCTTTTACTTTTTCTGACTCTCATTTTTTTTTTTTTTTTCAGAACTGGGGATTGAATTCAGGCCCTTGCGCTTGCCAGGGAAGCACTTGTTCTACTAAGCCATCATCCCAGCCCCTTGATTTTCATTCTTATTACTCAGTTTCATAACTGCTTTCTTGCTTCTTGGTCCCATCTAAGACATGTGAAAGTATCACTCACTGCTGCCAGCATAGCATTTGGGAGTAGCAGCTAGGACAGTCCAAAGACAAGGGCTTTGCAGACAGATCTGGCACAAGTCTTTTCCCCTACGAGCTTTGCATCATGAGCCACCTTGATTCTCAATCTTTCCATTTTAAGAAAGCAGGCATAAAAGACATCTCACGAGATGGTTTTTTTTTTTTTGTTGTTTGTTTGTTTTTTTTTTTTTTTTTTTTTTGGTGGTGGCTCCTAAGGGCCTTTATTTATTCTGTTACAAAGTTGCAAGTCACAAGGTTGTCTAGCAACCAACA